GACTGTTTACTGTCAACAACAGGCATGAGGGGAAAGCAGTGCATGCCCACCTGGCACAGCACAGGAAGGAATCACTGCCCTGTGTGTGTGTGTGATAGCGTGACAGTGGTTAAGATGACATGGGACTCCTGTGTCTCCATCAGAATGCCCAGGTTTCAGTTCTGTTTAAGCCCAGTGGTCCTCCACTCACCCTTCTCTTTCAGTTTTGCTGAGTTTCAAAATTCTTTGTAGCAAACCAACATGACCAACTTTTCCTGGCTCACTCCTTCCCCCTGAAAGATAGTAGAAGAAGTGGGTTGGCATTCAGAGTGGCATCTGATGCCCTAAAACTGGAGGACATCTGTTGTGTTTCCTCTATTTTATATAGCTAACCCGTTGGAGCAGTAACACTCTCTTTATGCATCCATAGTTCCATTCCTTGGTGACATATTAGTATCACCTAATTCAATGCTGATATTGAAGGGTCAATGCAGAAATGATTGAACTCTTGGTTGTCTCAGCCTTGCCTAGCTGGGGAGTAAAACCTTTGCAAAGGCCTAGGTAAATCCTAGGACAATGTGCTTGGGATACTCCTAGGTTTCATTTTGCATCAATAAATTGATTAAGTCAGAGGAGAATTTGCACCCACAAAGAATCTTTGTGAATGTGCAAATCTGGTGGCCAGAGCACTTATCATTTCTGAGTGTATTTGTTTCAAGAAAAAGTTATTTTTGCACTCAGTATATGGCACCAGGACCTTAAGATGATGGGGATTTCTGAGACAAAAGAGTAGCCCTGATTCTATATAACTTGCCTCTTCAGACCCTTGATTAGCCTATGCTAAGGAGATAGGAGTGCGTGGGGTTGAGAGGTAGATTCGTAAAGGGGATAAAAGATAAAGCTAATATCTGCTGTCCACTGAATTAACCTGCACCCTTGTATAGAGTTTGAGCTTTGATTCTGAGGTCTCTACTAACTGTAGATGATTAAAGCATTGAATTGTTTTGTGATTCGTTGTTTGTGGTAAATTGGTATTTTGCAACATAACACATCTGGTGTTAGTATTGCTAAGAGAAAATCCCAGTGGTCACAAGCTTCCCTTGGTTTGAGTGTGTGGTTTCAGAAGGGAACTAAGATGCTGGAGGTGACACTGCAGGCTGTGAGGAGTTCCCAGGCCACACTGTCACATTGCTGGTGCTTGGGATCCCCTGAATCAATGCAATGAGTCCTCTGGGCAGTGTGTCCTCAGGGAGAGTGCTCCCCAAGGCCTGGGACCCTGAGTCAGCTGCTGAGTGTGGATCTCGTTGTGAAGTGTAAGCAGGCTGCTTCCCAGAGCTCATTCTCTGTCATGTCCTTGTGCTTTGATTTGCAGTTTGCCCACTTCTGTAAGAATGCTGTCTCCTGATTTGGATGTTACATCTTTGTTCTCTTGCATGGAGCCCGAGTTTATTCAGTGGTCTTAGGAAGAATAGAAAATTCATTTTTTGGAGATATTTGTTTTTATTGCAAAGTCAGATATATAGAAAGGAGGAGAGACAAGGGAATATCTTCATCCGATGATTCACTGCCCAAGTGACCTCAGTGGCTGCAGCTGAGCCAGTCCAAAACCAGCAGACAGAAGCCTCTTCTGGGTCCTCCACACAGGTGCAGGGTGCCAAAGATTTGGGCCCTCCTTCACTGGTTTCCCAGGCCACAGCAGCGATCTGGGTTGGAAGCGAGGCTACCATGATTAGAACTGGCACCTATATGGGATACAAATACATTCAAGGCAAGAATGTTAGACACTATGCCACAGCGCTGGGCCCAGAATAGAAAATTGTTGACAACTTGATTTTCTGCCAAGATTGAGTAAGACTGTAAATAATGTAAACTGAATTCCTAGGTGAGAAAAAGGGTTTTGTCAGTTCAGGTCTTGGTCTCTTTTACCTCTCTTCCCAGAGGTGATTTAGTCCTGCTTCTCTCTATTTTATTTTTAAAGATTTATTTTATTTTTATTAGAAAGTCAGATATTTTTGGTGGGGCACCCAGAAGAAGCTCCAAGTCCCTTGCTTTTGACTGGCCCAACAAGTGCTGCCATATAGAGAGTGAATCAACACATAAAAGATCTCTTTTTCTGCTGTTCCAATAAATAAATATACCTTTTAAATATGCATTCACTTATTTTCAAGTGAGAGTTACAAAATAAAAGAGACAGAGATCTTCTATCCATTGTCTCTCTCGCCAGTTGGCCAAAATAACTAATCCTGGACCAAGCCAATTCCTGCAGCCTGCAGCTTTTCCCAGGTGATTAGAGAGAGAGCTGCGTTGAAGTGGAACAGCTGATTCCATATGGGATGCTGGTGTTGCAGTTGGCAGCTTCACATATTATGCCACAATGCTGGCCTTTGCTTTCGTTGTTGTACTGATTGCAGTGTTTTTCTGGCTTTTACTTCTCATATGCTGATTCATGGCAAGTGTTTTCCGTATGGGAAATATTCTTTTGTTACAAATTGTGGGTGAATTCTGATGCTGTATTAGGTGTTGGTAGGGTAGAAGGATTGGAGTCTAACATTTCCCTCCTGTGCTCTTCTTTCTTTTGTGATTCTCTAGGACTTGGTTTGACTCTCTTTTCTTCATGTGCTGTTAACTAATATGCCTGTGTGATCACCTTGGCAAGCAGTCTCCACAACTGGCTGGGCACTGACACTGCAGCATTAACTTGTCCTGATTGCTGCCAGTCGGTGTGGACCTTCCCTTGCTGTTCTGTGAGATTTTCCTTCCCATAATATGCTGCTCTGTTTAGGATCAGTGGGAAGAAGCATGTGGTCCTCTAAACTGTGTGTGTGAAAAGCTGCACCAAACATTTTCAGTTACTATTTTCAAATTATTCCTTGTTCTCATTCTTTTAAATAAGATTTTATTCATGTATTCCATGTAAAAATTCATGAGACACAGTGATTTACCATCTGATGGCTAACTCCTTCAATTCCTGCAAGATTGTGACAAGGCCTGGGTAAAACAGGAGCCAGGAAGTACATCTGTGTCCATGGAAGCAGTTGCAAAGACTTGCATACTTGAGAAATTCCCTGCTTGCTTCCAGGGTGTGCGTTAGCAGCAAGATGGAATTCGTTGTTTTGCTTTATTTTATTTTTTGTTATATTTTTGACAGTCTTTACATAGCTAATTAGAATAAAAAGGTTGAAGGGCTATAGGAAAACGGGTGAGACTGTTATTTCCATATTGTTTCTTTCAAGTTTAAAAGGTGGGTATTAAAGGAGAAGGCCCACCCAATTTCCCACCCTCCGCAGGTCCTGGATGTGGGACATGCTCCGAGATTCTTGCTGAAGTGGTTTTGATAGTTCACTAGTTATAAACACGATTGGCAAGATTGGCAGTGTTTCACAACTGGTGCTTAGCTTTAACGGAAACACAGGAAGTCCAGTGTAGAGTGAGGGTCTCCTCGCAGTTTCTCCACCCTTCACCCACAGACCCACATCTCCTCGTTTTAACTGAGCACTTACAGGATAGCTTTTTTTGTCTTTTCTTAAGATATCAAGGATATGTGTCTCCTATATTTTTGTTTGTATCATTTTCTTAGAGTATGCCTTGTGCTTTTGCATATAATCTAAACCCAATTTTAATTTGTACTGTACTATTTCTTGAGAAGTTAAGGTGTGTTATAGTCCCAAGTATTTTAACATTTTCTGTGTGTAATTACTGTCATACTTATTAAAAACTAACAATTTTTTTCAGAGTTGGCAGTGCATTTTGAATAAAGATTTATACATGCAATGGTAGGGAAATTGTAAGAGTGAATATTTGTACCATTGTTTGGTGTTAAACTCTTTTTTCAATGACCCACCCTCCAAAATCACATTGTACTTTCTGATTAATTTCTCCATTTGTTTAGGAGGATGTGAGAGGAATCAGAATTTGAATTCACTGATTTATTTCTGAGACGCCCACAGCTGCACAGTATCAACGAGGGCTAACCTGGGAGCTGAGAACTGAATGCAGGATTTTTCCTGTGGGTAGCAGAACCCCAGGGCCTTAAGCCATCACCGCTGCTTCCCAAGGTCTGCATTAACACAGAGCTGGAGTCAAGGTCAGAAGTAGGAATGGAACCCTCGGACTGCAGTGTAAGGTAGACGTTCCTTACCTGCTAGGCTGAACACTCATCATGTGTGGGGCTTTTTGTTTGTTTGTGTTTGTCATATTTTTTAGTCATTAGTGTCCACTGGGGTACATTGATCCAATTTTGAATATGTTGTCTGTGAGTTGACAGTAGAATTAAAATGAATCAAACATTGAGAAGAGAATATTTTGGTTGAGGTGGAACGAATGCATCTTATTTCAATGCACTTAATTCAAGCTGGATGCTCCACTCTGTCTTATTTTTAAGATTTATTTGTTTCCATTTGAAGGTGAGAGACACAGACAGGAGGAGGAGAGACAGAGAGATCATCTGTCTGCTCAGTCCCTCCCCAGGTGGCCACCATGGTTGATGCAGCTGATCCAAAACCAGGAGCCAGGAATTTCTTCCAAGTCTCCCAAGCGAGTGCAGGGTCCCAAGGCCTTGCGTCTTCCTGGACTGCCCTCCCAGGCCAGAAGCAGGGAGCTGGATGAAAGAAGGGGCCAACAGGACATGGATTAGTGACCATATGGAATCAGGGGTGTGTTCATGTGAGGACTTTAGCCACTAGGCTACAGCACAGGTCTCTACTCTACCCTTAATCCAGCTTCCTACTAATGCCTCTGAGAAGCAGCTGGTGGTGGCATAAGTACTTGAGTGTCTCCCATCCACATGTGACCTGCAAGGCATGGGGTTGGGCCTAGAGTCAGTCTGACACAGCCACAGCTGTTCAAGGCAATCAGAAGAACAAACAAAAACATTTTGCAAAACATGCTTTTTCCATCATTCTTCCTTTCAAGTACATAGGCACAATTGAACAAAAGCAGTGTAACTCTCTTTCTATCTAGGTTCAAGGTTAGCTTTCCCACAGTAGCATGTACAAAATACCAAGAAATTTTACTGCGAATCATGTACAAGAGGAGCAAGAGGTTCGATGAAAAAAGCAGCCCTGTGGTTTGATTACAAGGTTGTTTGTCTATTTATATGTGTATTTATTTATTTATTTACTTATTTACTGCTTACTCATCTGCCTATTTTAAAGATTGATTTAGAAAGGCAGATATCCAGAGAGAAGCAGATACAGAAAGATCTTCTGCTTTCTAGGTTACTCCTCAAGTGGACTCGACACGTAGAGTGCAGCTGGAGCTCAGCCCATCTGAAGCCAGTATCTGGGAGTGTCTTCCTGGTCTCCCACATGGTTGCTTGCAAAGTGCCAAGGTTTCGGGCTATGCTCCACTGCTTTCCCACGCCACAAGAAGGGAGCTGGATGGGAAGTGGAGCAGCCAAATAAGAACTGGTGCCTATATGGGATCCCTCTGAATGCGAGGAATTAATCTGCTAGACAACCATGTCAACCACAGGTTTAGAGTATTTAAATGATACTTGGAATGGATGTTGTAAGATAACATGTTACATTGCTGCATGCAGTGCCAGCATTTCATATAAGGATCAGTTATACTCTGATGCTCCCTTTCTTTTTTATTTTTTTGACAGTATGTATATATTTATTTATTAATTACATTGCATTATGTGACACAGTTTTATAGGCACTGGGATGTTCCCTTTCTGACCTAGCTTCCTGCTACTGTGCTTGGAAGATAAAATAAACATCTCAATTCCCAATTTCTAGGACACCTGCAGCCCTGTGTAGGATTTGAATGGAATTCCAGGCTCCCGATTTTGGCTGGACCTTGTTTAATCGTTGTGTGGCCATAGGGGAGTGAACAAATGGAGGGAAGATCTCAGTCTTTCTGTGTTTGACTCTTGTACTGTGATTCTCACATTTAAGCCAATGATAAATTGTTTTGAAAGAATTCAAAAGGGCCTGGCATGGTAGCATAGTGGCTAATGTCTTTCTCTTGAATGAGCCAGGATCCTACATGTTGGCCGGTTCATGTCCTGGGTATTTCACTTTTTATCATGTTCCCTGCCTGTGACCTGGGAAAGCAATAGAGGACAGCCCAAAGTCTTGGGACCCTGCATCTCCATGGGAGACCCTGAAGAAGCTCCTGACTCCTGGCTTCAGATCATTTCAGGTCTGCCCACTGTGTCCAATTAGGAGTGAAGCAGTTAATAAAAGCTCTTTCTCTCTCTCTCTGCTTCTTTGTATAAATCTGAATTTCTAATGTAAATGAATAAATAAATAATTTAAATGCAATTATGAATTAAAAAGGTGGTAACTGTACTGTATTCTGTGTAGATTGGAACTGTTTAATGGTTTCAGATGACTCACTGTTAGTTTGAAGGTATGACTCTGATTTTAGACAAATTCTAGTGAGTTTTGATCGGCATGTACTTGAATGCTGTCATCAGGTACAGTGCAGTATTTGAGTACATATATGTCATAAGCTGAGTAAACCAGGTGCCCAGGCTTTTTTAGCACATGGGGTCCTCCGTTGCAGTGTGCTGCATAAGCTTATCATATTGTGAAGTGCAGTCACCACACGCTGGGATGGAACCCTGGATCTTGTTCCTTCTGTTTCAGTTTCTTTGCTAGCTGTTCCATCTCCCTCCTGTCCCCAGGTCTCACTCTTCCCAACCTGGAATAATCACCATCCCAAGTCTTATCATTCATTTCTTGTGGTTCTAATGATTAAAAATTGAAGAACAAGATGAGAATAGATTTGTTTTCTCCTGAGGTCACTGCCTGGCCAACTCACAGCTTTCATGGTGTTTCCTCTGTCCCTGGGCATCCTTAAAGGAACTGAAATTAGTTTGAAGTGGATTCACAGTGACTATCGTTTCTGGTAATCACACTCTTCTTTAAAGTTTTTCTTATTTATTTTTATTGGAATATTAAAAACAGAGAGGATGGGAAACAGAGGAAGATCTCCCATGCACTCATTCACTCTGCAGTGGATGAAGAGGCCAGACCTGAGCTGATCCAAAGCTAGGATCCAGGAGTTTCTTCTGGATTGCTTACATAGGTGCAGGATCTCAAGTCTTTGGGCCACCCCTGACTCTTTTCCCAGGCCACTAACGGGGAGCAGGATGGGGAGTGGAGCATGCGCGAAAATAACCAGTATAAATATTTCATTCCAGCACATGCAAGGTGCGGACTAAAGCCACTAGGCTACCATGCTAGGCCCAGTATTTACCTCCTTAAAAGTGCTTTTCTTGGGCCAACAATGATAGCCTAATAGCTAAGGTCCTTGCTTTATACGTGCTGGGATCCCATATGGGTGTTCAATCTAATCCCGACTGCCCCACTACCCATTCAGCTCTCTGCTTGTGGTTTGGAAAAGCAGTTGAGGACAGGGTTTGGAACTCCGGACTTGTGGAAGACCCAGAAGAGTGTCCAGGCTCTTTGCTTTAGATTAGCTCAGCTCTGACCATTGTGGTCATTTGGGGAGTGAATCAATGGACAGAAGATCTTCCTCTCTTATGTCTGACTTTGTAATGAAAATGTAAAAAGTATTTAAGAAAAAAATGTACTGTTTTATCCTCAGCATGGTGGATTAGCGACTAAGGTCCTTGCCTTGAAGGTGCCAGGATCCTATATGGACGCTGGTTTGAATCTTGCTGGGCATGCTTCGCATCCAGCTCCCTGCTTGTGGCTTGGGAAAACAGTCAAGAATGGCCCAATGCCTCAGGACCTGCACCCAAGAGGCTCCGGCCTCCTGGATTTCGATCGGCTCATATCTGGCCATTGTGGTCACCTGGAGAGTGAATCATCAGACGGTAGACCTTCCTCTATCTTTCCTCCTCTCTGTATATGTGACAATGCAATGAAAAGAAATTTTAAAAAAGGAAAGAAAAGAAAAGAATGTGCTGTCTGTCTCAAAGTAATGTCACATTGGGGATCCAGCCCCCACGGTATAAAATTTAGGGAAACCCGTTTCTGTCTAGAGCAGTTAGAAGGAGCCAGTGATCTGACACAATGACAATTAACTTTGAAGTTTATTTGCTTTTTGAAACTAGCATTATGATTGCTCATGGTTTCATTTTAAATATTATCTCTGTCAGCAGTGCTTCATGCCTAACCGTACCCACACATACCCAGATCACCTGTATAAGCATATATACAGCATTGTGAATATGCTTGATGAACATATGCAGGTCAACATTGGGTAATCCACAAAACATTAAGTAGAAAGAATGATAAAAGTAACATGTGCACTACACAACATTTGTAATTTTCAAAATATACATTCTAAAATTTGAGAAATGAAGCAATGTCCAGACATAATAGTCCTACTCAACAGTCAGCATGAAGGGTGTCTTCCTGTGTCTGTACCTACTACTTTAAATCACAGTTACTGGAAAGTAGTACTTGGGACTAAAGCAAACATGGAATGATGCGTTTCCAAAAGCATAAGCCTAATACCATGGTTGCACAAAAAATGAATCAATGCATTTTTTTGTTCTGTGATAAGCAATTGTAATACTCAAATTGTCAAGTACATGATAAGAGTATTTGTCAACACAGAAGCTGATATTGCCCATGTAGTGAGCTTGGGGTGACATTTGCAAGCGAAAAAATAATATTTATATTGTACTTATAAGATTAAAACATGTTATGTGAATATCATCAAAGCCTCTGAAGCACACAAATCATGAGGATCATTAATGGGATGCATATCACTGAGTTCATTTTTCTTTTGCCTAGTGTGTCCTACTTGTGTGGCAAGTAGAGACATGCAAATTCAGAGTATGCAAGCACTCATGAGAGTGGAAAGGATAAACAGAACTTGCATTCACCAGGTCACTCCCACCATGACCCCAGGGTCTCTATTCCAGGATCCGACAGGTCTTCCAGGTAGATATCAGGGCCTAATTCCTGGCATCATTCCCTGCCATGTCAGGTGTATTTTATACACTGACCAGAAGCAAATGGCGGGTGCAGTATCCAGTGCTCTGCTACCTGGATGACAGCAGTACCAGTAGTGGCTCAAGCTGTCATGTCTCAATGACAACCCTCATTCAAAAACTAGTTTTAAAGAAAAGGGAAAAAAAAATGTTCTTATGAAGATTCTCAAATGGTGCCAGAGAGACAGCAAATGGAGACATATTTGAAGAAAAATCAAGATTTGATCCTGGCAGGGAGACTCCATGTTATTTCAATCTAGGCCTGGTTCCTCCCTCCCCCATGAGGACCAGGTCAAGTGGGAACTGCTCTCCAGGCAGTTGCAACTGAGAACACAGACCTGCGCCTCCTGCTGAGTGCCAGCAGAAGATGACATCAGCACTTTTTCTGTCCTCAGTTGCCTGTTGTCATCACCATGCTCTGCTGAGTGGTGTGAGAGGAATGGGCCCAGGGCCCGCAAGGGTGATGAGGCTCTTATTGAGCATGAGGACACCTGGCTCCCATCTTCACCATATTTTTATTTGAAAGACAGCATTGTAGAAAAAGAAATAGAGACGGAGAGGGATCTTCTTTCTGGTGGCTCACTAGTGCTCATTAGTTGAAGGTGGGCTGGTCCTAGTTAGGAGCTAGGGGTTTCTCCTACCCTCTGATGTGAGTAGAGGGGCCCAGGGACATAGACCATGCTTTGCTGCTTTCCTAGCCATGAGCGGGGTTCTGGAGTGTAAGTGTAGCAGCCACAACTAAAGCAGCACCATATGGGATGCCAGCATTGCAGGTTGATTCTTACCATAGGATTCATGTCCCGTCTTTTTGTATTTTCTTATTAAGATTTATTTTTAGTCCAAAGTTAGATATACAGAGAGGAGGAAAGACAGAGAGAAAGATCTTCTGTCCGATGACTCACTCTCCCTGTGACTGCACCAACTGGTGTTGCACCAGGTCTCCCACATGGGTGTAGGGTCCCAAGGCTGGGCCATTCTTGACTGCTTTCCCAGGCCACAAGCAGGGAGCTGGATGGGAAGTGGAGCTGCTGTGATTAGAACCAGTGCCCATATGGGATCGTTGTGCATTCAAGGCAAACACTTTATCCTCTAAGCTTTGGCGTCTTACCCCAGAAAGAATACATTTCAAGCTATATTGCTGTCATGTATATGGATATCCTATGGGCTAGGGCCACTGAAATGGCAGAGTCACATGTCATTGTGTGTTATTTCTATGTTTCATATATTGTGTGGACAAAATTGCTCTGATGGAAAGATGTTAGCCTTCTACAGATGTTAGCATGAACCTCAAGTGTGTTCCAATGGAAGTCGTTACGTGGAGTCCTATGCAGCTCATTGTAGAAATAGAGAAATGCTTTATACCTCACAATCCTTTCTGTGTAGTGGACATCTTAGTGACAATATGATATTTTGTTTTTTTTTTTAAAGATTTATTTTTATGATTTTTCTATTGGAAAGGGAGATATACAGAGAGGAGAGAGAGAGGAAGATCTTCCGTCCCATGATTCACTCCCCAAGTGAGCGCAACGGGCCGATACTATGCCGATCCAAAGCCAGGAGCCTCTTCCGGGTCTCCCACGCGGGTGCAGGGTCCCAAGCCTTGGGCCGTCCTCTACTGCCTTCCCAGGTCACGGGCAGGGAGCTGGAAGGGAAGCGGGGCTGCCGGGATTAAAACCGGCACCCATATGGGATCCCGGGCGTGCAAGGCGAGGACCTTTAACGTCTTGCGCCACCGCGACGGGCCCTATGATATTTTGTAATTTGTGCAATAATAAGAGTAGTTGTGGAAAAATGGTTGCTGCTTGGCATTCAGATTATTTATTTATTTATTTATTTTTCATTGGAAAGTCAGATTTATAGAGAGGAGAGACGGAACAAAAGCTCTTCTTTCACCTGGCTCACCCTCCAAGTAGCCCCAACATCCAGAAGACGGCCAATGCATGGCAGGAACAAGGAGCTTCTTCCAAGTCTCCCATGTGGATGCAGGGTCCCAAAGTATTTTGCTATCTTTGACTGCTTTCCCAGGACACACGCAGAGTGCTGGAATAAAAATGTAGCAGTCAGGATATGAATCAGCACCCATCTGGTGTCATGGCACATGCAAGGTGAGGACTTTAGCACTAGGTTATGGTGCTGGGCCTAGTCACATTTTAAAATAACTAATAGTTGTTTCCCTGAGTTTGTTCTAGTTTAGTAAGTGCCAGTTATTGAAATTGCTGATATTGCTTCAAGAAAGACTTCCTGGTCCTTGTAAAGCACTACTCTTGCCCAGGGAAGCTGATTGCTTTCGTTTCTCCAGCCATTGTGTCTGCTTCCTGCCTTCACATTACTTAGCACCGTAGGAATCACCAAGGAGACTGGGAACAAGCAAAAAAACTCATCACTCCCTCTGCCCACCTTCTCTTGCAGGTGTAGCCCTGCGGCGTGCTTCATGCTTCCAAGGCTGGAGAACACACGCACACCTTCAGTAAGTTGTTTGTTTACTTCTCACCTTGTTTTACATTTCATTTTAGGAACTGTATGATGGTTTTAAACTAAAATGAAAAGGCAAGTATAAGAAAGAAGGCAGAATTGTCGTAACCAAGACATTGGAGGTGTCAAACTTGTTGAAACTTTCCCATGAGATTTTCTGATGCGATAGCCAAGACATGGTTATTATTACATGATTCAAATGGAAACCAAGAATTTGTTAATGACTGTGGGATATCAAGTTTGAAATGGTGTTTACTGATCATCCTATTTATTTATTTAAAGACTGACTTGCAGCAAGAGAAGGAGAGACAGAGCCAGACATGTCTGCTCTCTGCGGAGTGATTTTCCCATGGTCACAATGATCAGGCTGGACCATGTCACAGAAGAACCAGGAGGTCCATCTGAGACTCCCAGATGAGTCTCCCACCCAAGTGCTTGAGTCATCTCCCACTGTTTCCAATTCACATTGACTTAGAGCTGGATTGGAAGTGACGTAGATGGTAGCTTAGGCTGCTATGCCACAATGCCATTCACTACTGAACGGTGATTTTGCTATTGCAAGGTTTCCTTTTTGTTTGTTTTGTCTTTGAGATTTTTTTAATTTGAAAGGCAGATCTGCACAGAAGGAAAGAAATGGAGAGACATCTCCCATGTGCTGGTTTACTTCTCAAATAACCAGAATGTGCAGAGGTGAGCAAGTCTGAAGCCATGAGCCAGGTGTATTGTCCAGGTCTCCTACTTGATTATAGGAAGCCAAGTGCTTGAGCCGTCCTCCACTTGCTTTCCAGGCCTGTTTTCAGAGAGTGGGGTCAGAAGTGGAGCATCCAGGATGTGAATGCCAGTGAGATGCCAGTCTCTTTATTGGCTAAACCATAAGACTGGGTCCCTGTTCATTCTGTTTGGTTTTCATTTCAAATGCAAAGTTTTTCCACTTGGCTGCAATGGCAAGAGCTAAGCCAATCCAAAGCCAGGAGCCTCTATTGGATGTGGCACACGGGTGCAGGTGCTCAAGAGCTTGAGCCATCCTCCATTGGTTTCCCGGGGCAAAAGCAGGAAACTGGATTGGAGGTGGAACACACAGGACATGAACTACACTGATATGATCAGCTTAGCCCATCAGGCCACAGTTCAGTCCATAGATACTGACTTCTTTCAAAGGAATTGGACAGACCATGAAAATATGACATGCTCCCTGCTTCTGCCAGATGATATCCTGTACTGGTTCCAAAGTTTGTGAGATGGTTAACACCATAGGCAGTCCTTGAGTACCATTTGTAATATTAGCTTCATCATTTTACACTTCAATCAGCATACCTGATTTCCATTTCTCTGTGAACACTTTTGAATGAAGGTCATTGCAATGGGTATGAAGTGGTATCTGATTGTGGTTGCCATTTTCACTCACCTAATGATGAATCATGCTAAGAATCTTCTTGTGCTAATTAGGGTTTTGTTGATCTTTGTAGAAATATCTGTTTAGTTCTTTGCCCATTTTGGAATCTGTTTGTATTGCTTTTGAGCCTGTTCAGTGGTTTCCAGCCAGATAGCCCCAAGAGGGTGCCACCTGAGGGGGTGAGGCGTCAGTGTTCTCCAGCTACAAGAACCAGTGTGGACAGTTTGAGGGCATGTCCATTTATTGTGAAGTGAGCACAACTGCTATGGACTCGGAAAGAAGATGGCAACAGAGCAGTGCCTGACAGGCCCGCCACCCAACAGTGACACTGTAGTTGACTATGAGACATGTGTATCCCTTTAAACCCTCCAATCTTGTCACAGGTCATATTCTGCACACCAGTGCATGCCATGCCTGAGGTTATGGGTAGGTGGGCTGTTAGTCATGCCCAGCAGGTGGTATTTAAGTTCACAGTCATACTACTAGTATAATACAAAATTTTTGGCTTTGCAACTGATGCACAAACTAAAAATTGAGATTGTCCTGTAACTCTACCACTCAGTGACAATGATTTTTTTCAATGTCACAACAATGTTTAATGTTAGGAAAGCAATTCCTAAAACCAGCCCACACTGAATGTGCTGTGATGTGCGAATAGGAGTGAAATCTTGGTAACTACAAATTGGCTGCTAATGCTATTTTTTTTCATTTTTAAATTATATTTTTGACAATCTTTACATAGTAAATTAGGGTAAAAAAGTTTAACTGCTACAGGAAAATGAGTTAAACCATTATTTGCGTATTGTTTCCTTCTTATCTGAGGTAAAGGGGAATTTTAAGGAGAGAAGCCTCACCCAATCTCTGACCCACCCAGGTCCCTTACGTGGGGCATGCTCTGAGAGTCTTGCTCAAGTGGTTTTAATAGTTCAACAGTTATAAATGGCTGTCAGTCTCACAACTTCAAGAATGAAGAGGTTGTGGAAGAACCCACTGATTGATATAGTCCATCATAGAGGCTTGGTTTGCCCAGTTTTTCACTGCCAACATATGGCTGAGGCGGCTGATTAACTTGTTCTGCCCTGTGTCTTTTCATGGCTAGTGTTCTGAATCTGGCATCACCCTGATCAGCTGGTTGTTGCAATTACTGGGTTGGTGGTGTTTCCAGCCCTGTCTTCCACTGGCACCAATGGGTGTTGCAGTCCAGCCTGGTTCTGCCCAGCCCCCATTGGCCGTCACATAAACCAGTGGGATTAGCCTAGTTGGGTGACCCATAATAATCCCCACCAGGCCCACCCCCTACCCTGGTTTGCCAGTCTGTGTAGCAGACTAGCCCAGTATTTCCCCCATCCCATTCAGCTCTCACACATGTCAATGGGTATTGAAGTCTAGTTCCATCTAACCAGCTGCACTATCCAGCCCTCTCGGATGTTGTTGGGTGTCTCTCTGTCAAGCCACCCCAGCCCCTGCCCTGGTTTTTGTGCCCTCCAGTGGGAGTGGTAACCCAACCCAGAGGAACCCACTGTTTCCCTGCCAGGCCGCTCCCACACCTGGATTATGCACTCTCCAGGTGGTTCTGTGGTTTAACTTGACAGAATTAGCCCCCAGTGCCAGCTTCTGACAGCTGATGCTGCGGCTAAGCTCAAATAACCCTCACACACTCTAATTTTTTTTTTTTTTGCACCATGAGGAACCATCAGCCCAGCCTGGCTTTTCCCTAATCTTGTCCACAGGAGGCCCACAGGTGTTGTAGTCCTGCTTAGTCTGGTCTGCACCCATCCCAGCTCACGCTCTCCAGTAGGAGTAGTTGACAAGCAGTGGAACCCCACCATATTCCCTCTGTTGGCTCTACCCTCTCCCTTCCTGGTTCTCATGCATGGTCTGCTCCTGACCCATGGCAAATATATGCCAGTGGGAAACTTTCCATGGCCTGTTCTGGGCTGTTTCCTAGCGTGCGTCTTGCGCTTACCTGCCGGGTCTGTGTCCTGCCAGAGGAATTGCCCAGGCCCCTCCATCAGACCCTCTCACAATGCCAGATTTTGTGCATACCAGGGGGTCCAAGAGCCAGAACTACTCAGTTCACTTCCTGTCCTAGCAGGAACAGTGGCTTTTCCTGACTGGCCTTCAACCCAATCTGGTTCTTACTGTTGGATGTTTCAGCCCAGCCATGGCTCGTCATACCCACATATAGCTCACACATGGCTCAGTAGGGGTTGAGACCTAGCCACATGTTCACCAGCGAGAGCTGTGATTCACAAGGGGAGTATTCCAATTTCCTCCACTTGACCCACTCCCAGACACAATTCTCATATATTCCATTGGGTTTTAGGTCAGTACCAGGCTTAGCCTTGCCTTCCGTTTAGTCTTGTATGAGCAGGTGAATGTTGTATCCTTGTCCACCCCACACCGTATTCAGGTTGCACATTTGGGTGCTGCTGCTTTGACCAGTCCAGACTGCTGTCGATTCATTAACCTGTAATTGTTGGCAGGTTCCTTGGGCACACCTAGTTTAGTCCATCACCCCTTCAACTTTTGAGCTAACCAGTGGAGCTAGAATTTCCAGTGTTTGGCCCTCATATCCCCCACAGAATCTACCCCCTGATAGGGTTCTCTCTTGTGCTACTTAATTCCATGGCCCTGCCTAATGTGACCCATTTCCTGACCCACCATCATGTCAGGTAATAGAATATGATCCTGTTAGACAAGCCTGGAGTCTTAGCTTTTGCATGGACTGGTATTCGATGGTCAGCATTGTTCAGTGATTGCAAGTTCTTCAAAGGAAAAGTTTCTCTGTCGTTGGGAATCTTTAGGATTGATTCACATCCCAGAAGCATACTGGGTTCAGCATGGAGCAACATAAGCAGTGATTCAAAGAACCAAAGCCTTAGAGCAGGCAGCCGGGTGGTCAGCAGGAGGAGCCTGACACCAAATGGCACTGGCCAGCTGGGCACAGCTCATCACGTGCACATGGTGCCTGCAGTCAGGGATCCTAGCATGGAGACGCCACCGCCTGGGACCCACCATCAGCCAGCTGGCTGCTGGAAGTTTTAATCCCCAAGGCCAATGTCGTGCCCCTCCCCAATCATATCCCCTTCCCAGTGATGTCGGCGGGGGGTTCCTGGCCTGCTCAGGCACCCGAAATTTCCCTCCTCAGTATACTCACCCTGAATTGAGCAGTCCTGGGAGCCCAGGCAGGTCCAGGGACAGCCCACCACATGCACATAATGGCTGGAGTCAGGGATCCGCTCATGGAGACTTATAATGTAATCCTTAAGGTACAAGTTTATAAACTTATTTTCTAATTGGTTTTGATTGGAAAGTCAGATTTATAAAGAGATGGAGAGAGAGATCTTCTACCTACTGTTTCACTCCCCAATGGGACACAACGGCCGGAGCTTCTGGAGCTGAGCTGAACTTAAGCCAGGAGGCCAGGGCCTCTTCCAGGTTTCCCACACAGGTTCTGGGTTCCAAGGCATTGGGCCCCTTCTACTGCTTTCCCAGACCACAAGCAGGGAACTGGGAGGGAAGTGAACAGCTAGGATATGAACCATATGTGATTCTGGAGCATGCAAGGCAAGGACTTTAGCTACTAGGCTCCCATGAGG